CCTAAATGTCAACTTTCCTGCTCCTCTGATGCTGCCTGGCCTACTATGTTCATCCAGCTCCACACTGTGTTATCTCTGACTCCAGCATCTGCAGTTCTAGCAGACCCCTTTTATTCTAACTTGCTTGGTGTAGTCTGAGACTCTCCAGCACAAAGCACAGGCAATGACCCGAGGGGAGAATCCTCTCAAACCTAAAGGCATCGGGATTAATTGTTGTAAGGTGGATCAATGATGGAGGACACATCGGTTTTATTTATTCATTCACAGGATGTGGGCATCACTACCTAGACCAGCATTTATTGCCCACAGAGTCAACCACATTGCTGTGGGTCTGGAGTCAAATGTAGGTCACAGCAGGTAAGGATGGCAGTTTCCTTCCCTAAAGGGACATTAGCGAACCAGGTAAGTTTTCCTGACAGTTGGCAATGAATTCATGATTATCATTAGATTCTTAATTCCTTATTGTTATTGAATTCAAATTCTACCATCTGCTAAGGCAGGATTCAAACTTGGATCCGCACATTTCCTGGGTCACTGGATTAATAGTCCAGCGATAATACTACTAGACCATCACTGCCCCATCTGTGCTTACCCAAACAAGCCCTATTGGTGATTCCAGTCCCATACTAACAAGCTTTATTCTTAACTGCAATCTGAAATGCCCTTACACATCCTTCAGATGCATCAAATTGTGACTAGGAACCTACTGCCAACTTCAGTGGTAATTATGGCTGGGAAATAAATGCCAGCTTGGACAGTGAGACCTATAGCCCTGAGATCAAATCTGAAGAGCCTTACTGGTTTGTACAGTCAGGCTTTAGTCATTGGATTTTTACAAATATGTATCTATATTGTTCATGGAAGAGTATTCCCTATAAGGATTATCGTGCACCCTAGTTTCTTCCACTTCAGCTAAGCACACAATTGTTTCCTGAATTATTCAGGATTTTTGTCTCTACCTCAATCTGAAATCTATTCCATAAATCAGATTATGTTGAGTGCAGTACACAAAGAGGCCATTCGGTCCAAGCTTGTGACAGTACTTACGAGCTTCCTGCCATCACTCTATCTAACCCGTTCAATTTATCTTTCTATCCCTATCTTCCTCATGTGCCTAACTAGCTACTGTTGAGATGCATTTATATCATCACCTCAACTACTCCTCTACAGTAGAGTTTCACTCTAACCACTGCATGGAGACATTGTTCAAGTATTTGCAATTGGATTATTTGGGATTACCTTTTAATGATGGCTCCCGGTTTCAGACTGCCCCCATAAAGGAACATATGAATAGAGCAGGCTGTTTCGTTTTATTCACTCGTGGGATATGGGTGTTGCTGGCTGGACAAATATTTATTGCCCATCCGTAGTTGCCTCCTTGAGGAGCTGCATTCTTGAACCGCTGCAGTCCATGTGCTGCAGGTTGACCCACAATGCCCTTAGGGAGGGAATTCCAGGATTTTGACCCAGCACCAGTGAAGGAACGGCGATACATTTCCAAGTCAGGATGGTGAGCGACTTGGAGGGGAACCTACAGGGGTGGTGTTCCCACATATCTGCTGCCCTTGTCTTTCTGTCTGAGGATCTTTGGTGAATTTCTGCAGTGCATCTTGTAGGTAGTACATCACTGCTACTGAGTGTCAGTGGTGGAGGGAGTGGGTACTTGTAGATGTGGTACAAATCAAGTGGGCTTTGTCCTGGATGGTGTCAAGTTTCTTTGTGTTGTTCAGGCTGCACTTATTGAAGCAAGTGGGGACTGTCCCATCACACACCTGACTTGTGCCGTGTAGATGATGGACAGGCTTTGAGGAGTCAGGAGGGGAGTTACTTACTGCAGAACTCAAATTCAAACCTGTTCCACCATTCAATGAGATTGTGGCTGATCTGTAATCTAACTCCACAAAACCTGCCTTTGGTCCATATTTAATATCTTTGCTTAACAAAAACCAGTCTCAGATTTAAAATTACCTACTGATCCAGTATCCACTGCCATTTTGGAAGAGAGTCCCACCCTTTGTGTGTAGAAGTGCTTCCTAATGTCACTCCTAAACAATTTGGCCCTAATTCTCAGTCTAAGGCCCCTTAGTTCTCGAATTCCCAACCAGTGGAAATAGTGTAGCTTGATCTATGCTATGTTTTTCCCTGATCTTGATGATGTTGATCAGATCACACCTTAACCTTTCAAATCTAGATTTTAAAACTTCTAACAGGTCATCCTACATTGTTCTAAAACCCCAGCCTGTTCTGTCCCACCTGATAATTATAACACCTCAGTTCTGAGATCACTCCTGAATCTCTACCCAATGCTTCTGTATACACTCAAGATCCAAACTATGGACTATATAAGACAAACTATATCTCTGCTTTTCAATTCTCTCTCTTTTGAGAAATTCACCAGTGATACTGTGTTCCCCAGACCCACTGGCAGTTTAAATGAAGGTTTGGTCCATGCTGCTCATGGTTATACACGGCTCACTTCCAAGGTTGCAAAGTCTATTGTGCCACGCCTGTAAAGTGAGTCTTCACAGAAGGTAGCTATTCAGTCCATCAAGGACATTCCAGCTGTCTGCAGTGCAATCGACTCAGTCTCATGTCCCTGCTCTTGTCCAGTAGCCGTTTCAATTTATTTTGGAGATCACGGATTGTCTCTGCTGCCTTCAAAGGTGATGGAAGCAAGTTCCAGATCACAATCACACCCATTTCTCTTGCTGCATCTCTCCTCAAAATGTGAAGTCTGCTGTAATTACTGTATTCATCTAAAAGGAACACATTATTTCTCTACCTTGGCTACACTTGCCATAAATCTGTACACATTGATCAGACTTCTCTCCAATGCCCTTGTTTCAAAGAGCGCTCTCATTCGAAAATTAATCAAGAATAGTCAGAGAATCACTTACAGTTAATAGGAAAAATTTACTTTCCTTTCTCCACCTTACCTAAGCCAGTCACTATCTTGTATACCTTCATCAAATCTCCCCTCAATCTCTTTCACTCCAAGGAGTAGAATCCCAGCTTTACCAAAATAATCTTGTCAATAAAAATCCTTTACATCCTTCCTGAAATGTGGTGACCAGAACTAGAGATTAAAAACTCTGGTTGTAACCAAAGTAGAGTTTTATAAAGGTGCAACAATGTGCCTGTCCATTCTCCTTGGCAATCTCTTCGCGACTGGAGGCTGTTCGTATCTACTCCTAAAATGTTAATGATTCGGGTTGTGGATGTTGTGGTTGGTTGGCTCGCCGAGCTGGTTCATTGTTCCAGACATTTCATGACCCTGCTGGGTAACATCATCAATGCAGCCTCTGATGAAGCCAGGCTTCAGCAAGATAATGAAACAGCTGCGGAACAATGAACCAGCTCAGCGAGCCAACCAACCACAACAGTTCATATCATCCTCAGTTTGACACTCAGTTTGGTGCCATTGACTAACGTTCAAATTTTACTCCATATTTCTAGATCAGAGTCATTGAAATTTCATAAGAAAAGCAGTGGTCCTGGCACTAACCCATGAGAAATACTCCTATCCAATCATAAAACCACCATCTACCAGGACTTGCTACCTTCCATCCCAAAGTCGATATTTTAATCCAATTGGCCAATGACCTCCTTATTACATAAGCCTCAGTTTTGTTAATCAGCCTTTTAAGTGGAACCTCATCCAAATTTCTTAATCCAAATAGTCAACCTCCACCACATTCCCTTCATCAACCTTCTCAGTTACTTCAAATCGAGCACGATCTGCCATTTACAAATCTGTGCAGAATCTCCTGAAATTGCTCAAATCTCTCCAAGTGCCAGTTGATTTTTGTCCCTGATCAGTAGTGGGTAAAATTTTCCAAATACTGAATGTTAAACTAACTGCTCTGTAATTGCTAAGATCTGCCACTCTTCAATCCTCTGGCATCTTCGCCATATCTGGTGAAGTTTGGAAGATAAAAAGCCAAGCCAGTTTACCAACTGCACCTCAGCAATCTGGAATGTAAGCCATCCAGACAAGGCGCCCTATCTACCACAAGCCAGGTCAACCTTTCTAGTACCTCCTCCTGATCAATAATCACAAAACCCATTATCTCTACCATCTCCATTTTGGTTAATGGTGTCAATATTCCTCTTCCTCAGTAAATATCAATACAAGTATTTCATCAGTATTCTTGCCTTGCCTTGGACTTCTAACTATACATCAACCTCTTTGTCCCGATTACAATCCAGCCCACCTCCTACTCATTTACCACTTACAATGCCAGTAGATGATTTCCGAGTACCTTTTATCCTTTACCATCATTCTATTCTTTCCCAGTCTTATTTTCTTTATTGCCTTCCCTCTCAACTTATTGTATTCAACATGAATCTTATTTGAAGAATTGACCCGACACATCATACACTCAACTTTTCTGTTTCTATCAGGATCTCTCTCTCTTCCCATCCCAGGAGCTCTGGTACCCTAATCATTTGACATTGGAAGGTACAGAGCTTGTTTCTGAATGATCACTTCAGGATGCTCTGAGAATATGAAATGTGCTTTATATAAACACAAATCACTGTGCTCCCAGTGAATACACTTGCTGAGTCATTGGGGTATTGAAGTTTGGAGCATTGTCTGCGCAGTGTCCTAAATCGGTGGATGCTGAAGGATAAGAGGGTACCAGGTAAAAAGAAACTTAACCTACTCCTGGCACTACCAGACTCAAAGTAATTGGCTCCCAATGATACCACCAACAACTATTAATCTCTGAGCTAGAAACACCAACATCAAACTCAAATTCCTATTCACCCTGCATGGACCTGGACAGTGAACACTAGCTTGTCTGATCAACAACAGCAGATTACAAAGTAAGGAGTCGGTACTTGTGCAACCAATGTCAAAGCACCAGGTCAGGACCCACCGAGCCTCAAACCCAGCAGAGTTCAGGCTCTGGAGTCCATATCCTGGCAGTGTGTATTCAGGAAAAAAAAAAGTCTCTTGAAAGTATTTTCAGGAAATCTACAGGTCAATAAGCAAGTCTGGATTCACATTTATTGAAGCGGTACATGGAGACACACATTTTTGTCTTTGTCAGCACGAGAGAGAAAGCAAGATTCCACACGACTGGATCAGGTTAAAGCCATACACATGAACTAAATGAGAACGCTCCTCTCAATGTTACAACTTCAGTCCAACACAGTACAAAAAATGTTTAACCTAATATGGTTAACAGAGAACTTTATACATATATATATATATCTCCCCAATCTCTCTCCCTCCATTAAATATCCACTTTCATCAAAAGGTGAAAATTAGCACTCATTTTGTTAAATAATTTTTCATTTAAAACTTGATTCTAAAATGCCAATGTTTCCTTCCTGCAAAATATTTCAAGTGCAAACTTTAAATTAAGCAGCATAAATATTTCAGTTTACTGAAAACAAACAAGATCAAGCCAGATCTTTAGATTACAACATCTTTTGGCTGGAATTGCAACTCTGATAAACACAGAGGGAGAGAGAAATGAAAAGGAGAGAGGCACAGTTTGAAAGAGGGAGGCAAGAGGAAAGAAGTACAGCAAAAAAAGATGCAGACTGAAAAAGGAGGGGTAAGATGGAGAGATGCAAACACAGACAAGAAACAAGAAAGGAAGAAGGTAAACAGAACATGGAGAGAAATCAAAGTGGAAGACAGGAAACAGATGTCCAGATTGAAAAGACTAGAGTCCAAAGAGACAAAAATATAAATGGTAGAAGGAAAGGACGGAAAATATAGATTCGGGAAGGCAGAAAACATGCACAATGGAATAAATATGAACAGAAAAGGATGTGAGGAGGGGAATGGATCAGAAAGAGACAAAGACAGAAAAAAGTCCACTAAACATTAAATTGGTTTCTTAAGGTTAGTGTAACAATCATTCAGCATCCTCTATACAACAGTTTATATGGATTAACATTTTGTTCTGTTATCTTCAAAGCCATTTAAAGTTTGCTTGTTTGGTTCCAGCAGTTAAATCATAAAAATATTGAAAATAAAAGTGGACCAATTGTGCAGTTCCTTCGAAGTTACACCAACTTTGAACGTCAGGTATATTGTCCAGACAAGCCTGGAAATATTTCCCTTGCCCTCCTTGGTGCAAGGAAGCCAGGAACAAGAGCATTGTTCCCAGTCACCTTCCATACATACATGTTACAGATAAGAGCCTCAAAAAAAATGAAAAAAATCATACAAACAGTCTTGCTATTGGAAAAATACTCAGAAGCTAATGATGCCCAGCTTTCAATGGTAAATATATTACTGCTTTTAATAATATATATGCAATGTTATAGGGAAAATGCTGACTAGCCAGACCTCCCATTTCAGCACAAGTTAGGACAGTTTATACAACAGAAAGTAGAAGTCTGCGCAATTCCATTTTGTGGTTATCCCCCAGAGAATGCAATGCAATAAAGTCCTCTACATTGAGTAGTGTTTACACTCAGAAATAATGTGCCATTTCATTAATTGCAGCTAAACAACGGAATGATGTTTTTCTCATACAACCTTTAGTGGGAGGGATGGGGATGGGGATGGGAATTGGGCGGGGGGGGTGGAATTTCCTTTTTGTTTATGTTGGCCTAACTCACTACAATTCAAGGAAGGCAGGAGCTATCAGAAAAAAAATAAAAACTAAAAAAAACCTTTCCATTACTGGATAAAACAACCTTTAAATTAAGTTTTAATAAAAATAAAACACCATGAAGCGACTGACCGCTTGTGCTATAGTGCATGTTTTGAGCTGGGCGCTTACTATGACACCTGCATGGTGATGTGTCAGGCACTTGTTTCCAGCAGGTTTCTCTCTCCACTCTATGTCTTCAATAACTAATTATTCAAAGTGCCTTCTAAACATTCTAACAGCCTTTTAAATTCAAAGTAACAATATCTATCATGTTTGATAATTTCATGATTTTAAGAGTCACTTCCCTGCTCAGCCTCAAATCCTGATTAATTTGAACCGTTCCTAAATATAAACAGTTTCACACTTCTACCTTCCAATTATTAACAGAACATCCAATGAGTCTAAATATTCCCTCTTCTTCATGCCACTTCTTCTTGCTTGAACCTACCTCCCCTCTGCCCACACTGTGACCTGCCACCGTTACTGGTTTCACCTCATGCACTAGCTTGGTCCTTCATTCCAATACCTGACTCTGCAGATTACAAACTGCCTGGGACTGCTTGGTGTGCCTCACTGCCCATCTCACGTACAAGCAGTCAATGGGAAAAGGGGAATAAGAGTGCAGAATTTACTACCAATCTCAGTGGCTGATTCCAAAATCTTGTTGCACCCCACTAAGAATTGTAACCTAAGCAGGCTGTACTGATAGCCACCTGCCTCCTCCCCTCACCTTCTCTCAGCCATTCTCTCAAACCCCCAGTAACACACATGTCGCTTTGCCAGTCTACTAACAAGGTTTTATTCGCCCTTAATCTTTCTGATAAAACGATTATTTTTTGATTAAGGTGTTGTCAGACAGAGGCTATTTACATTTCTGGAATGCACACACCTATCCTGCCACAAGTCATTTTAAAAGTTTAGTTAATGCCTCATGTTCCCCCCACCCCCAAACTAAAACTGATAGCGGCTGCCGCATTAGACATCTGCTGGCCCTCACTCGAATGATACAATTGTCTAATTTGGTCTTTTATTTTTAAATATTATATTATACAGTGTCTCTTGCAGCTTTTAGGCTTCATTCTCTGTTGGAGGAGAGTTGTTTGTTGTGACTACAGAATCCGGTTTTCGAGACATCCTGTCCAGCTCTGCTTGAACATCTGTTAAAACCGGCTTTTGTCCTATAAATTAAAAATCAGAAAATGTCAATTTAAAAAACCACAAAATACTGTGTTAAAACAGGCTAACTGTCCAACCTGTAAACTCTGTCACCAATCTCTTTTCCAGTTTTTCCTCCTAGTCTACAGTACAGAATCAGGCAGCCCATCATACCAGTGCTATTCAATTAGTTCGATTCCCCTACTTTTTTGCTGCAATTTTTTCTTAGTCCTTTACAATCTCCTTTTGAGGTCACTGTGGATTCTGGTTTCACTACCCTTTCCTGTATTATATTCAAGACATTACCAGGGAGTCTGGAGAACCAGAGAGGAAGTGGGCAATAGGAAACAGAATGTGCACTAGGAGGAAGAAAACTAAAACACAGGGCAACAATGGGGCTTACCTTATGTTTGATTTTGTTGGTAGCACCCAATCAGCATCAATACTTTGTGGAATTATGATCCACTGCATAACAATGATGTACAGAGACTGAACTGCAGAAATATGGAGATGGACTCAAACTGGCTGAGTTCATGCAAGCAGCAAAGAGCAAAAATAAATCAATTTCAATGTTCCAGACTGTTTTATGGTCAAAAAATTTTTGAAGTTCAGTTCCTATTGTAATGTCAAAAAATGTGACAGCCAATTTGCACATAGCAAGCTCTCAGTAAAGTGAAACAAACAGGTTTGTAATTCCCCCAAGCAACGATAGCTGAAGGATAAATATTTAAGTAGGGTACCAGGGAAATTTTTCAGCACTGCAAAAAAGAAGTACAATGGCATCTTCTACCTCAACCCAAGGCAGCAAACACAAGACCCCGATTTTAACGTCTCAGCTAAAAGGTGACACCACTTACATTGCTGAACTTACTCTGTAATATACTGGAGTGTCACCCTCAATCTTATTTTTGCATAATCTCTGGACTGTGGAGTTGAACCTATGACCTTCACTTGGAAGGGGCCACGTGCTACAACACCACACCATCCAGACCAGCAGAATACAGGTTTGCTTGCTTGTTTCTGCTGAGAGTCTGTTCTATAACTGAGGCTGTGAAAGCTTGGCAAATAAAGGCATGACTTCTTTTCTTTGCTTAGCTAACCCCAGGATGGGGAAGAGGTTTCAAAAATCTGCTGTGAAATTATTTGGAAAGTAGGAGTATAAAGTGTCAGGACAACGCCCCTTGGCCAGCTTGTAGTGAATTCCTTTAGTAAGTGCGTCTGGTTACTTTTCAAACAGGCTGAAGCTCCAGGATCTCTGCTCCAAAGAATTTCAGGAAATTCCAACCAACTCCAAAGGGAACTGACTGGCTGGTCATGGCCTGACTGATACAAAGATTTTGGGAATTCCTAAGCACACTGTACCTGACAACTGAATTAATCTGATTTTCCCCATCAACGACAAAACAATCTTGGAAACAACAGATCCCCAAAGCCATGTGGTATGTCAGCAGCTGGACTCCATCCCAATAATCCAAAATTGCTCCCATTCAAAGTATAATTGGCAAATAATGGGCAAGACTCCAATGATTATGTTTATTTTCACTCTGAAAATAAATATAAATCATTGGAGTCTTTCTGCATCATTCTGTGTGCAGACAGGAATTGCCTTGCTCCTGTCCAAAACTACAGGTGAAGGGCTCATCTTTTCCATTAGTTACTAATTAAATGTTATTTTGAATGGGAGCAGTTTTGGCTTGTTGGGTTAGAGTTCAGCTGCTGAGATACCAGAGGACTTTGGGGATATAGTAATTGCATTGAATTGTACATGGTGGTGGGCACTAACTGGGAATTCATTAATGCTCCCATGACAAGGAATCAACTTTGGGCAATGAAGTGAGGAGGTGCATGCTTATAGTGATATTTCTGCAAATAAACATTTATAAAACTGTGCAAAGACTGGCTCCAGTTCTTTCCTTCTTCATCTGGCTTTCTGCACTAAACAATCCATAACTACTCTGTTGGCAACTTGATACAAGCAGCGATTGGTCAACCTCCAGTACCTCTTACAAGTGATCATTATACAGATGTTTCCCCATGGGGGCCATAGATGATTATTCTGATACCCACCCAGCACCTGGACAGCTCCTGTGGCCAGTGTGCAGTCAAGGGCAGAAAGCCCCAGTCAAGGGCAATGCTGACATGAAGAAAAGCAAATCTTTAACAGAGATTGGTTAAGATCTGGAATGCACTGCCCAAATTTGTGGAGGCTTCAACGGGATAATTAAAGAAAAATATTTGCAGATCCATGAGGATAAAGAACAGGAACGGAAATAAGCAAGTTGCTCTTGCAGAGAGCCAGCATAAGCACAATGGACTGAATGGCCTCTTTCTATGCCATACCCACTCTAAGATATATAAATCATGGAAGATCACAACTAGCTGTCATGGAGTGATCAGTTAACTTGATAAACAAAGCATTAATTACAAAACCTTTCTGGTCTCCAAGGTTCAGAGGTCAGTCCAAATTCATTACTCACAATTGTCCCATGCTTAGCAACACTGATGAATGCTTCCCACGAAAATGTCCTTCACCAGCACCTCTAGCTCCTTCGGATACCTGACAAATCTTAGTGATAACAATGTTATTGAATGAGCCACTTCCAGCCCTGCTGGATCTGGTTGTTGATAAGGGCTTACCTGACTTTTTGGCTGTATTCGATACTCCGCCAGCTCCAGGACTCCCAGGAGAACCTGTCTTTTTACTCAATAAACTGTTGAAGAAGTTTGCCAGCACTCCTTCATTTGCAGCAGCAGGACCTGAAATCAGAAAATGTCAGATTTGCTCAGTCTCAAGGCATTCAAAGGACCCTGGAACTCATTCACTGGTGACTGAGTAACATTTTCTGCAACCATCTCCCAGTTTAACAGGTGGAGGAGGGGAACAGATGGACACACCTGGAACTGAACATAACAAATACCACTACTGAACTGAAAGTAAAAGAACAGCCTGCAACATCAGATAGTGACTGAATCAAAATTCTCGAACTCTATACCTATGGTGCTAGAAGAAACAGCTATATCACTCAGCTCACCACCACTTTCCCAGGAACAATTAAAGATGAGCAACAAACGCTGGCCTACAGTAACACCCACATCCCATGAAAGAATAAACAAAATCACAAGGATGGCCATTTGCCCACCACTGCATATCCGTACATACAGGGAAAGTATAATGGAGTGATTTTTTAAAAAAAAAATCCTCCATGGGATGTGGGCATCGCTGACTGGGTCAGCACTGATTGCCCATCTGGGGTTGTCCTCAAGAAGGGGCTGGTAAGCTGTTTTCTGAATTAAAGTCTATTTGGAGAAGGTAAACTCTTAATGTCATTAGAGAGGGTGTTCAAGGATTTGGACCTAGTGACACTAAAAGAGCAGAGGGTGATTGGAGGATGGGGGTACAAACTTGGAGGGGTGGTGTTCCCACATATCTGCTGCCCTTGTCCTTCTCAATGGTGGAAGTCACAGGTTTGGAAAGTGCTAAGGGAACCTTTGTTTGCTGGGTCAAATTCAGTTAAAAGGTGAACCACAATGTCGTGCATCTTGAAATTTAAGTTTGTCCTTTCACTAACAACGCCATATACCCCTATCCTGCTCCAAATTTAATTCTTGTTTCTGGTTAGGATGATAGCAGAAGGAGGACAGAGCAATATTTGGAGATCTTCTGATACTTACTGAGGTCAAGGAAAGAAGGAAGATCTTTCAAATGCTGAGAGCTACTGACCAGATCCAGCATTTTACAGAATATAAAAAAAACATAAAATGGTATTTTTGCAGAATGGTCGTGTATGCAAGAACAGAAATTGCACAGCTTAACAAAGCATGAATTTGATTTCACTGGCTAGCCTGCAGGAAATCATTCCTGTTCAGAGGATCATTTTTGGCAAAAACATTTCCCACAAGTAATACAGATTTTCCTATGGTGTCGTAAACTAGCAAATAGTTTCTTTTTAAATTAAAAAACATCACCTTTAAACAAAACAAGCGACAGAGAGCTGGATCTCCAGGGCTCGGTCATAGACTATGAAAAAACTGGAATGCTCAAAGTAGCTGTCATGTACACAGGTCAGTTTCACATTTCGCCTCCTGCCAACTCATAAATTGGAACACAATCAAACTGACCAAACAACACCAATGATCAGGGTCAACACAATGTGGAGCTGGGGGAGCACAGGTGGTCAGGCAGTATCAGAGTAGGAAAGCTGACATTTCAGGTTGGGATCCTTCTTCAGAACTGTCAATGACCAGTCAGTGACAAAATGCCAGGAAAGCGCAACAGATTTTGCAGCACAAACAGGCTGTTCAGTCCAAATGGTCTGTGCTAATGTTTATGTTCACATGGATCTTACTTTGACCCACCTTATCAGCATTACCCTTCTAATTCTTGTACCCTCAAATGCTTATTGAATGGCCCTTTAAATGCATCCGTTCCACACTATGGCAAGATCACATCAGTGTGTAAAATAGTTTCTCTGGACTTCTCTCTTTGATTCATTAGTGACTACCTTTGATTTTTGATCGCCTCCTAACTATAAAGTCTTCTCTTCACCAATAACAACACATTCCACACCACTCTTACACACAGTCAAACCTTTTGGAAAGATTGCAAAAAAAAAAAAAACACAAAAGACGGTTCCAGGTATGACGAATTTCAGTTATGAAAACATATTGGAGAAGTTAGGAATGTTTTCCTTGGAGAGGAGAAGGCTCAGAGAAAAGTTGATAGAGGTTTAAAATCACACGGGATCCAGACAGCAGAGATGCGGAGATGTTTCCTCTTGTGAAAGGATAATGAACAAAAAGGCAGAGGTTGATAAAAGAAGGAAAACCCTTTCCATACATCGAGTGGTTAAGGGTTGGAATGTATTTGACTTATCTGAAAAGGAACACTGATGTTATGGGACAAGGCAGCAGAATAGCATTAAAAATTGTTGATTTGGACAGATGGTGCAGACATATTGGGCTGAATGGTCTTCAGTGCCATGACAATTCTGAGATTTGGTCAAGTTTCCCTTCTGGTTTTTCCTTTCTAGAGAAAAGAGGATCAAACCTTTTGAGGTAGTTACAGCTCCTCAATTCCAGTATCATCCTTGTTATTCTTTTTTCCATCTCCTCCCATCTCTTTGTTTTTCCCTAATACAGAGCATGGTATTTGTAAATTGTGTTGGCTCAACAGGTTCTAGGACTACCTGTTCCAACTTTGCTACAGGTCAAATACACCTGCAGACTGTATTCCAGGACAATTAACAGTGGGTTACAAGTAGTAAACACTATGCTGGTTTTCCCTTCAAGGGAATGGAAGAAAAAGGTACAATGTACAAGAGCAGTAGGTGAACCAGTTCTCACCAAACTAATTATCACAGCTCAACATCCTTCACTTGTTCAAGTTCCAAGGATACAATCTAACAAGGTCAAAACTTGCATTTAATGAATACTTGAACTTCTACAGCATGTCAAGTACATTTTTAAATTTGTTAATGGGATATAGGTGTTGTCTTGCCTTTGACAAGGTGGTAGCGAGTTACCCTCTTGAACTACTGTGGCTACACTCACTGCTGTTAGGATATAACAATGACTACATTTCCTGTGAATCAGCAGTCAATTTGGGCACAGCAAAACCCAACTCTTTGGGTGTGGGTTCTTACCCTGTGTTCTATGATAAACAGAAAAAAATAAACAAAAAAAGTGAGGAGTATACATCACTAATGATGGAGGGGAGAGGGGATGTGTGGAGAAACATTCTTTGGTCTTCATTCTTGAATCATTGTATAATGTACACATCCTACAACAAGATATCAAACAATGGGTTTCATACATATAAATGTTAGTTATTAAAGCCAAAAAATGACTATTTGCCAACTCCCTAAAGAAATGACTGAGGGGTGAAAGCTATGCTACATTTAATGTTCTGCTTCAGTTCCACCTGGATTGCTGGGACCAGACTCTGTACCATATCTCAAAAACTAAATCAAGTCTGAAGGGAGTGTGGCACATTTAGCCAAGTGGTAACAGACTGACATGGTTGAATTAGAGCAGGTTGCATAGACTAGGCTTGTGTTTCCTGGAGTATTAAAGATTAAGGGCCTACCTAATTAAGGTGCTTTAAGACGATTACAGATTTGATAAAGTGGATCAGGAAAAAATATTTCTGTGGGGGAGGGTCCAGGACAAGGACAAATAATTGTAATGTTAGTGTATCTCTCTCTCTCTCTCCCACCCCCTTCCCCCGCCCCCATAATAAAAAGTACTTGCGGTGGGGCAGGGTGGGAGGATCAGTTAAAAATGATAGGATTTTTATTAGACAAGGTTTGGGTATTAAGATACAGATGAATCATTACTGAATTGAATGGCTCGAGGGACTGATAGGCCTCCTGTCTCTTAGTTGGTAGGAAAAACAGATACAGGACACTGAACATGATAATCATTTGACAATTAAATACGAACAGAAAATCCAGCCGTAACTGCCTGGATCCAAGTTTTCTTAACAAACTTTAATAACTTTTTTGGGTGCACTGTTTCACTCAAGCAACTCAATGTCAGCATGCTTAGGATGGGTTACACCATTTCATGAATGGATCAAGGGGTTTGTCAGTGGAGCAGCTGCAGTAGAAAAGATTGTCCAGTCCTCATGTCTAGACTGTGCTGTGCTACCTTGTCTCTAACAGGGCATCAGTCGATGCTGCTCCAATCAAGCTTAAATAACTTCCCACTTCCCCAATAACAAACCAGTGACTCCTGCCGCAGAAAAGTAGGTTCAAACATTAGCTTTTGGTCATTCCACAGGAGTGACCAAGTTGGCATCAAGTTGATTACAAATTTCTCTCCACCCTAACCCAACCCAATTTGGCCTGAAAGGTCAATGAAACTCACTGCCTTGAATCAAAGCTGAGGTGTGATCTTTTGGACGAGGTATCACCAATGGGACTGTGACCCAGCACATTGAGGAGTATTCAATAATCTGCATTTCACCATGAGCAGAGCAAAACATCCTAAAACGTTTCCCAGGAGTGCTGCAAAACAAACTCAATTGCATTTTGAGCCACATCAGCAGACAGAGCTCAGTCAAAGTGGTAGCATCTGAAGAGGAGATTCTGAACATCTTTAACAGATAAAACAGAAGAAGTGAGGTGAACAGTTTGAGGGAATTCCAGCACTAGAAGCCCCAGGCAGCTAACAGCACAGTTATTAAGAATGGAAGTAGGTAGGCTGGGAAATGCAAAGGGCCAGAATTGCCAGTGTAGCAGAGACTTCAGAGGTGCAGTGTTTGAGGGAGAGAGGGGAATGAAGAGGTTACAGATTCCATTAAGAGGCATAATCATAGAAGGATCTGGAAGAGGATGAGCACTTTGAAACCAAGCTGAAAAGGAAGAAAAGTATTCCTCATCCACGAAAATAGTTTCAATCTCCACCAGCCTGTGTTCTCAATACCACCCACAAAACACAATCTCACTCAAGATGATACTGGGACTACCACTAGCTCTCAACACCTGGGTAAATGGCTCTCCTTCCTACCTGAGCTAAGAGTGAGCTACTGACCTACATAACTGAACCTGATATTCCTGCCCTCATCTGATGAGTACTAGTCTGTGGCGAAGGGGATTGTAAGAAGGAGGGACACCTTTGCCCACTCATTGTCAGGAGGCTGACTGCAGTGTTCCCCATTATCACCAACAATCATCTCCCACAATTAGCTCAGTTAACTTAAAGACTGGCCAAATAGACAGACCTTGGTCTGAGACCACAAATGATTGGTAGAATTT